AAGGCTCTTGTAAACAAGTGAGAGGCCCACCTCCAAAACCTACCCAAAACACACCTTTTTCCACCACTCTCTAATATTGTATACAAAGTGGTGATTAGCCAAACCATGGATACAGAGGAATTCAGTTTCCCTAGAATCAGTGATACTTGTTCACACAACATTGATTCTCCTCCTCTGTGGAATCTGTCACCAGCAGCTTCTCCTAATCCCTACAAAGGAAACACAAGAGAAGAAAATGATTGCTTTGGAGCAGCAAAACTAGTGGCTGAGGTTCACAGGAAGAGCTTTTCTTGTGTGGAGAATAGAAGGAAAAGAAATGGATTTGAAGATGATGAAGAGGAAGAGGAAGAGGAGGAGAAAATGGACTTGTTGTGGGAGGATTTCAATGAGGAGTTGTACTCCACAACGACAACAACAGGCTCTGCTACCTCTTCTTCAAGGGAAGTTGTTGAGTTTAGAAGTGCTCATGAATTAACTCTTGCAAAAACCACTCATAATTCCCTTCTTCATCCCACCAAGAATAAACCAGCCATGGTGGTGATTGTGAAGGTCTTCAAGAAACTTTTCTCCATTCATAATTCTCATGCCAGATCAAGAAAAACAGTGAGATAGAGCAATTGGGGTTCTGTTGGTATCATATGATTGACTTAGGAATATCTGATCAATCTTCTTCTTTCTATTCAGTTCCTTACAGTCTGTCATATAACTGATAAATTTTNCCTTTACTTCGTTTTCACTTTTTTAAAATCCAAATTAATAAAAATCTGTAAAAATAAAAATAGTAAATAGCATATAATGAAAAATCCAACCTAATTTGTTAAATTTTGACAAATTAGAAAACCGACCCGTAAATCTAAACCCGTTTTATCATGTCTAATAAGTTAGACCCATATCACATTATTATTGTTATGTCTCCCACTGCCCTTTGAAAGACCCGTCAATACTCTTTTACTAACTTGCCTGATTTTAACCATCAGCAATATACACCTTTGCAATGTGGTGACAACTGGTCCACATGGAATGTAACACAACACACAACCTAAAAAGATTGAAGAAGTTGTTGTCTTAGATTCCCAGTGGTTCAACGTCCCTTTCACGGCTTAAATGGTCAACACCAAATTGGAAAATAACTACCATACAATCTACTTCTTCCTATCAATCCGGCGATAATAAACATCCCTTGGCTACCCTTAAAGGTCTAGCCTTCTGTTTATGTAGATTCTAGAAATTACATCACATCTTATCACCCATTCTTACATTCATTTCATCAACCTTTAATCATTAAGGAAGGACAATTATGCATCCTGTACCCTCTTACATTATTATGGAAATATTTTTTTCTCCTTTTGTCATTTTCTCACTCTCACTTTACCTTCCTTTCTTACATCTTATTTTCATCATAATAAACTACACACTTCAATATATGATTTTGTTTGGTCCTGCCCTACCTAAGTGTGGTCAAGATCTTTCTTGAAAATGTAACTTAGCATGTACACAATCTGTGTTCAAATTTCGTATAAGATATTTTATATCGATTAAAAATAAAACGATTTTACATTATTATATAAATTATAAATTGACTTTTTCTTATAATATGTTTCTCCTAATTTATTATATCAAATGCTTGGTTTATGGAAATAACTTGATTTATTCTATTCCCATATGACTGTTTAGAATATTATCCAAATAAACAAGGAATTCTATATTACCATGATGTCTTTAATGATTTGTGAGTTGTTGTGAATAAGAAAGTGCATGATTTTTAGCAGTTGAACCAAAAGGCTCTTGTAAACAAGTGAGAGGCCCACCTCCAAAACCTACCCAAAACACACCTTTTTCCACCACTCTCTAATATTGTATACAAAGTGGTGATTAGCCAAACCATGGATACAGAGGAATTCAGTTTCCCTAGAATCAGTGATACTTGTTCACACAACATTGATTCTCCTCCTCTGTGGAATCTGTCACCGGCAGCTTCTCCTAATCCCTACCAAGGAAACACAAGAGAGAATGATTGCTTTGGAGCAGCAAAACTAGTGGCTGAGGTTCACAGGAAGAGCTTTTCTTGTGTGGAGAATAGAAGGAAAAGAAATGGATTTGAAGAAGAGGAAGAGGAAGAGGAAGAGGAGGAGAAAATGGACTTGTTGTGGGAGGATTTCAATGAGGAGTTGTACTCCACAACGACAACAACAGGCTCTGCTACCTCTTCTTCAAGGGAAGTTGTTGAGTTTAGAAGTGCTCATGAATTAACTCTTGCAAAAACCACTCATAATTCCCTTCTTCATCCCACCAAGAATAAACCAGCCATGGTGGTGATTGTGAAGGTCTTCAAGAAACTTTTCTCCATTCATAATTCTCATGCCAGATCAAGAAAAACAGTGAGATAGAGCAATTGGGGTTCTGTTGGTATCATATGATTGACTTAGGAATATCTGATCAATCTTCTTCTTTCTATTCAGTTCCTTACAGTCTGTCATATAACTGATAAATTTTCTTGTCTTTATTCAGTTCATTACAGTCTGTCTTTTCATGTTCATCTTCATGTACATGTAAATTGTGAATATAAATTATAGAGATTTATTTTTTCTTCATTCGTTATTACAATCATTGTGTTGTTTTTCTGTTAATGTTGCTTGAAGATTTTGACAAAGGAATGATGCTAAGTAATAGCCTAGATGTAGGACCAAAAACATGAAAATCTCTGCTTTTTGACAGTAAAATGATAAATAAATGTTAACTTTAGGTAAGTGACCATGTTTAGGTTTAGGAAATAGCAGCTTCTAATAATTAGATAATCATTTTTTTAACAATAATTTGGTATTCATAGTATAATGAATGAATTAGAGAAGGAGACTCACTAAGAGAAACAAATCAAATTCTCAAACTGATGAATATTTTAAGCCAAATGTTAGTGACTGCATCAGGAAAAATAGCACTATACTTTCAAAGCTAGTCAGTAGTATCAATTAGTACATTCATAATATGTAATAATCATAGCAAATGCTTTTAAACTTTTCTCTTCATATAATGTGAAACTGAAACAAAAAGCTTTTTTCTGTTCTTACTGCAGTTCTGGACAGAAAATAAGAAATTTCAAATAGTTTATTTATGTGTAGAAATTTTATAGTCTAATCAAATAGAGAGAAGAAGTGATTCGTGTTAAACAATAATTTCCAATAATAAAACTATGATCGTTAATGTAAGATTTTACCTAAAACTTGTCATTCAATTTAAGTAAGCATCTTCAAATAAATTGTTGCTTTTTTATTATACATAATTCAAAATGGTTTTCTGTATTATTTATTGCTGTTACTAAGTCTTTTCTGATATTGTATTCTGCTTGTTGCATGATTTGTGGTTTTTTATTTTATTTTCTTTTACTTTTTAATTTTGACTTCATCTATTCATGACTCAGTTCTCGTCATAAAAGGTAAAAATATTGATACATTTTTTGAAAAGAAGTTGAGGACAGAAATTGACTATTTTTTCTGATGAAATTTGACAAATGTTATCATAAATGGATTAATCATTGACAATCAAAGCATTGGATTAATCAATTACTTGTGGAATAAGTGAAGCACCGATGAAATTACATAAATCAGTGTATGTTAAATATTAATCATATATTCAACATATATATTTAATTTTTATTTGTATATATAATTAAAATATTGATTTGAATGCTTTTAATTCATGTCAAATGAGTGAGTGTAAAATAATTTTTTTATCTGAAGTCATTGCGTTTCAGTCGTTATAGAATTATGAATCTTGATTTTAATCTTTGTAAAATATTTTTCTTTAGTTTTCATTCTTTTAAAATTATAAATTACATACTTGTGTTGCTAATATCCATTGTAGGATAGATAATTAACATGTATTTTACAAATATTTTAAAAGAAAAATTTAAAAAAAAATACTTGTTGCAATATCACAATACTAATAGATAGGAGTTGAAATGGTCGCTTGATTTATAATAAATTTACATAATATTAGTCATATAAAATAATAATTTTAATATATATTTTTCTTTTTGTGATTGTGAATATCTTTATATTATGAAATATATAATAGTCTCTTCAATGCTTTTAGACTCAAAAGTACACTTAAAACAATGCAACCAAAAAGAGAAAAGAATAATAAAGACAAGTGTGCTAAATGATAATAAATCCATCCAAAGATATAATATAATTTAAACATTTTTGTGTACAATAATTAAAGACATTAACCCACTTGATTAAGACACCGAGAGTTAGAAAGTCTTAAATTAATCAATTTCATGTAATTCTTTCTTTTATTTTATTTTTCTCTTTACAGATTGAGATAACAATATGGTGGGACAGGTTATAAAGCTTGTTTATTTATAAGGAAAAAGTATGGGACGGGTTCAACATTTTGACTTCGTAAACCCGTTAACTTCATCTCGCATAACTATGTAGTTGGACTAATAATGAGGAAAGACGAACTAATTTACATAATTTGAAAAAAAAAATATATTATATGTTAATCTTTAATTTAGACAGGATTATTTTATTTTGTTATTTATTTAATCTATATTTGAATTCTTAAGTCATTTTTTATTTCTTTATTATTGATTAATTGTTATAAACTTTTTCAACTTACACAATAATTTATTTTTATATTTTTTTATTTGGAAATATTTAACTTTGATATATTTATGTGATGTAAATCTTAATATTTTATTTATTTTGATAATAATTTGTTTTTATGTTTTTTTATCCAGAAATGTTTAACTTTGACATACGTTTATTTATTATCGATGATAGACTCATTATTTGGTACAATGAAGATGTAAAACACTTTAAAAAAACAATTGTGACAACATTTATATCAAGTTAATTTTAAGATTTGGTTATGTGGGTTGATCTGTCAAATGGGGATGAACCAACAAAATTACCCCGTAATTCTTCTGTGGGAAACTCGAGTTTTTAGCCATTAAAAAGAAACAAAGATAAATTTTCTTTGATGTGATTAAGCGTGTGCCACATCACTTTTTCTCTGAAACGTGTCGATCATTCCTTCCTGCATCTTCACCGGTGGCACCCACCTCCTCATCTACTCACACGCATATCCGTGCAAGAGGTCATCACGATCGTCGTCCACGCCAAACCTTTCCCGTCTATCATAGCAATGGATCTACCTGATCCTCACGGCCGAGGACGTCACCATGGAAGACTTATGTTGCGCCGTATGTGACTTTCACTACTTCAGCTTTCCCTCCAAGGTCGGTTACACCCTCCCTTATGCCTGGGTTGGAAACTTTGGCAATCATGTATTTTACATTATTATTTACCTTTTGTAAAAGGGGGAAATTTTAATAATAACTAGGTCATTGATTTTATACAGTAATGCAAACCCAAGTATTAATTTACTATCTATTGCATTTCAGTTGTTGCAGATCGGTGATTATGGAATTGGAAGATAGTTGAAGCTTGCAGTCTGTAATATCAGACTATAGTGCCAACCTTTCTTTAGGTACTGGGACTTCAGAGGATAGACCTAAATCTTGTTTTGGAACTCAAAGATCAAATAGCCTGTTCCCTGAGGGCAATTTAATGTCTCTTGAGGGAAATGTAATTGAAATTCATAACAACCTAAATCTGGTTTCAATAGTTCATGCTCACAACCAATTGTATTTTTTTTCTTATTTTTTTATTAATTTCTCCCAAGAGATGCGAAAGGGAAGAGGAAGGGCGGTGTCGGTGGTCACGGTGGCGGCTGCAGTTGTTGCGGCGGCCAACAAATCCCTTTTAAAGGAGCCTCGGTACCGGGGGCGTGAGAAAGAGACCATGGGGGAGGTTCGCGGCGGAGATCAGAGACCCCGTTGAAGAAAGCCAGGGTTTGGTTAGGAGCCTTCTATTCTGCAGAGGAAGCTGCTCAAGCCTACGACACTGTCGCACGAACTCTCCGGGGTCCCAAGGCCAAAACAAATTTCCCTTTTTCACACCCTTTCTACATCGTCTCCTCGTCGTTCCGCCCTCCCTTGCCTTTTGATCTCAATGCACCACCATTCGACGATGTCGCTGTCGATGACGATCTCCGTTGCACCGCGCTTTGCCTCTGAACGTGTTGTGATGGTTTTCAATTTCTGAATTTTTTCACCCTTGATTTCTTTTTATTGTTGTGCGAAACAAATTATAATGATGATAAGATGTAAGACTGGCAATATGATCTTAGTTCTGTGAGAGGGATATTCCATGATTTGGTGTATTTTCTCTTTCTAAAATTTTATTTAGTAGAAAATATTGAATGAGAAAAAAAAAGTAATTATGAATTATGATATCTTTGTTGTTGGAAGATTAATGTCGGTGTGTATGCATTGTTCCCAGAATTTCTTTCTCTTTATCTCAACGTCGTGTATTGTAGTACTACCTTAGAGATTTAGTAGTATTTTCTTTTGTAAAATGTGAGAGGGAGAAATGAGACAAAGGAAGGAAAAGGTACTCGTCGGCGGTCCGGCGATGAAGGGAGTTGGAGAATGATGGAGATGAATAAGGGAGGGAGAGAAGCTTCAGCATGAAGATGCAAGAAGGAAGGATTCACGTCAGAAAAAGGAAAAGTGACGTGGTAAACCGTTAGCCACCTTAGAGAAAATTTAACGTCGTCGCTTTTTCGTTTTTTGAGGACTAAACATTCAAGTTTGCTAAGGAAGAGGATGAAAATGAACAAACCTTTGAAAAAAGGACGAAACGTGATACTTGAGGGATTAAAAACATATTTAACCCTTAAAAAAAAGTAGTGTTTCACCCTACGACTTTCACTCTATACTTCCAAAATTTTCTCAAATAAATGCCCTTCACTAATACGTAATTAATTTTTAATAAAACTAGAAGAATCTTTTGACCCAGATTCTTAATCTCAATTAAAGTATCTTGTTTTTATAATTTTAAGATATATAGTTACTTTTTAATGAAATATTAGAATTTTATAAATATATAAATATTTGAATTAATTAAATTAATTATGAATTAAATAATTTTGTTTGTAAATATTTAATATATATTTTAAATTATTTTAATGAATTAATAATATTTTACACTACCAAAAAAATATTTTAAATTTTTCATATCATTTTTAAATAAATTTATCAAATTTAAATACATTTATTTTTTTCATAAATTAAATTAATTCATATAAATTACCTAATTAAATATTTATAAATAATATAATAAACCATTTTAAAATAATCTAATAAATATTTATAAATAATGGAATTAAAAAAAATTATCAAAAATATAACAAGTGTAATATATATATATATATATATATATATATATATATATATATATACACACGAGAGTCATCACAATTATGATAGGATAAACAATTATAGACTATAATATAAAGTATTAACTTTATAATTATCCAAAATAACCATATAATTTAAAACTTTATATATATACAAGAAGCTAACAAAACCATATACAAAGTTAATCTAAAAATAACTACTCAGCAGCATCTCCTCCATTCAAAGTCTGTTCTAGAGACACCTCATCTCCCTCTGCTCACACCCACAGATGATCATTGCAAAGGAAAGAACACCAACACATACAAAACACAAACACAAACAACATGGTAAGCTAGTTTAAATAAAAAGAAATCTATTATAATTGTCAACTATAGTTCATACAATCATTTCCAACATAAAATACTTGATGCATGACACTACACTGACTTTGACCGTCTAGACTTAGAATGATTCTCGAGCTATGGCGGGTCGTGCACTCGTGGTGGCTTCTACTACTTTGCAAAGTCATTGCCAATGGGTTTCACCCTACCACACTCACGAGGTTAGTTTGTTACGGGCCTTGGAGCATACTGGAAGCCTCCAAGACTAAGACCTCCTACTACTCTTCACGACATGGGTCAATCCTCTCTACGTGAGAATGAAAGACAATTGGAGTTTCAGGATAACCCCCAAGATTGAGCTCCTGCATTCATTCTAAGCATACTTGAACCTCACCAAGAGGATTCACTTTGGAACTTTACTTTTACCACTTTGAAACCATACTTTGAATCTTAACTCATAACTTTATTGCTCATACATGATCATACTTCATTCCCAACAAATCCAATTTATATTTCAAACCAATCAAAAACAAGAAAAGATAGGGTACTCAAATACATGAACCAGTCGCTTAACGCATCCCCTCTCTAATTGACCAAAAAATGTTCTCGCACAACGAGCTAGGTTGTTGTGCGAATCTACAAACAATGCCTCCGGACTCCAACCGACTCGTTCAGCGACCCAGCTAGCTGAGCGAATAAAACTCCCAATAATACCAAACCCCAACCTTTCGCTCAACGACCCAACTCGCTGTGCGAAAGTCCAGATAGTGGTCCAGACCTCCAATTCACTCGCTGGGCGCACTCATTCGCTATTCGAATAAAACTGACAGTGCCCCCAGACCTCAACCATTCGCTCAACGCATCTTCTCGTTGTGTGAATCATCAAATAGAGAGTTAACCTCTAAAACCACTCGCACAACGACTCAGCCCGCTGTGCGAATCACCAAATAGAGAGCTAACCTCTAAAACCACTCGCTCAGCAACTCAGCCCACTATGTGAATCACCAAACAGAGAGCTAACCTCTAAAACCACTCGCTGAGCGACTCCACTCACTCAACGAATCTTCATGAACTACAACACCAAATCTGCATAATTACGCAACCTATACCAAGTTTACCAATTCTACTATTTTTCCCAACTTCTAACCCTCCTAAATTGTGTTATATATCTAAATATACTTAACCAATGTTGTCTAAACATTTCTAACCTCAATCTAAACAAGGAGGCTCAAAATCTCACCCAAAAACTTACAAAAACTCAACCTAGAGACTCAAATTGAATTTTACCATTTGTAGCATAATTCCAAGCAACTTAGGGACTCTAACAAGTCCCAAATGACTTACTAAGACTGCCCAAACTGACCATTTGCACACAGAACTCCAAACTCAAATTTTCACTACCTCACTTCCTCCAAATTGAGTTCCAACCAAGTAAAACTCTACCTTATCACCACCATATACTCACAACTCAGATTTCTACAATTTTAGATGTTAGAGCATGACAAAACTCAGCTCATACTTAATCTCAACTGTACAATAAACAATTCCCCAACCATTTCCTTCCTTAAGAACACATTCTAGACCAAAACATTATCCTATCAAATTTCCCTTTTCTTCCAACAATTTCAATCAACACCAAAACACTCTATCAGTACAAATCCAACATCTCATACACATATGCAACCAGATTCATCATTCATATTAACTACTCATCATCATAAAATTCATAAATTTCTCCAAAATACATAATTATCAATGACACCAATTAACATTGACATTTCAACCATTAATTTACACAACATACATACAAATTTAAAAATTAATTAACTAGCTCCCATTACCTCTAGAAACCTCGTACCGTTCTAAAACACCCTAACCGATGCTTGCACCGTAAGGAAACTCTAGAAAAACCTACAAATCACCGGATGGTGATAGGAGATAACTTTTAGAACCTAAATTGAGTCAAGAATCAAGAAAGAGAAGCTCACATCTTATGCAAGGCAGGTTTCCTTGCATGATCACAAATTTAGGAAAGTTAAGAAAAAGGTAACGAAACTTACTAACTCAAAACAAGAAATTGATCGTTTTGAAAGAAAGTCCTCTATGCCAGGATCACCTAGACATCTTCTTATCTTTGAATAGATGATCCAAGTGTGAGAAAAGTTAGAGAGATGTGAGAGAAATGGAAGAGAATAATGTTTTAGAGAGATAGAAGTATTTTAGATAATGAACCGAACTTTAGAAAATTCTATTTAATTATAAGATTATTTTATAATAAAATACTCTACCTCATTATTTTAATTCACCTATCTACTCTAATACTCTATTTTCTAGGTTCTTACAAAAAACACAAGAAAACACATTGAATCTCGAAATCCGATTAAGGGAGAATCAGATTTCGAGATTCAATGTTTCTCCATCTCTATATCCAATACAGTGTTTTTGATAATAATAACTTCTATATACTTTTCATTTATAAACATTAAGCACAAGTTTTATTAGTTTCATTTGTCATTAAATTTTTTAATTTTCCAACACAAATCAAAATAAAAAACACAACACAAATGCTAACTTTAATATATGATAATAAGGTCATAAATGAGTAATAATAATAATCAATACAATTATTATAATAATGTTTATCAAACCTCATTAATTAGAGGTCAAATCTGGAATTTGAATGTGCAAGGTGAAACCCTTTGAGGTGTAGGATGAAACACTCTAAAAAAAACTCACAAAATCAAATATCCATAAAGTTTTATGGTTCAAGGTCAGTCCATAAATCTTCTTTTAACATGTTAACTATTTTATTCGTTATCATATTCAAATATTAACTATTTTTATTCGTTATCATATTTAAATATTCTCTGAGTAAGTTCTAGTTATGTATTCCTAAATCAAATTATGTATTTCTAAATCAAATTATACAATTGTATTAACATTTACTTTTTTATTTTTTATATTTTATAAAATTTTGTGTATTTTTATTCAATTTTGATACACGAAAATATAATATTTGTTATATTAGCATTATTTTATAAAAACAATAACTTATTTAATTCTTTATGGGTGATTCTTTTGAGAAAAAAAATCTTTTTAATATTTTAGATATCAAAACTAAAATTAAGTCAAAAACTTCTTTATATATAATTTTTTTAAAATAGTTTATCAAAATGGTTGATAAAAACTTTCAAACCACGAAAGAATAAAAAAAAATATGTTTTTGCGATTATATTTAAATATAAGTCATTTTTGGATTATATTCGCTTACAAACATTTTTCTAACATTCGTATATCACATTAATAATTGCAAGGGTAAGTCAATTTTATCAACAATTCATAAATAATCCAATTTTAATTAAACACAACATAAAAAACCATATATATGGATCTATATGTCAGAAGACATTCAAGAAGTGAAATATTAACTCACGTCTGTCTTCCACAAGATTCATATCAAGTATGCCCTACCAAAGGCTATAACATCTAATCTATCTAAAATTTGAATTTACAAACAAACGTGAGAATCATTAATTATGGTAACTTCATTACAACTCAAGTTTGCACATCTACATGTCACAGTGTACAAGAACTCTATTTATTTCTCATCACCTCATATCTTAGTCTATATG